GTGCACTATGTAACGAGTTTTGTCATGGTAGTGATATCGCCATGCTTAGAAATCAATGCATTAGGGATTAGGCAGACCATCCGAACTGAATTTAATCCTTTTTGTAGCAAACCAAGGTCGAAGATTTAATTGAGCCACACTATAAAATAGTGTATTCATGGTCACTTGTGGTTTGGAGTAAAGAAGTACAGCTATGATATGACCATAAAATCTATAAAAATCTAAACGCATTTTTTTTTTAAATTATTTACAGGTTGCACATGTGGACGCGACGCCACTGCCTGTGGAGCTTCACTTTATTGCAAAATATTGGTCTAAAATGACCAAAAGTGACCAAAATAATGATATCAGCTGCTGTACAAAAGTTGACGGGATAGTTTATGTGGTGAACGGTGCGGTCATTTTGAATAGGAATGTGGGTTTTTTAAAATAAACATTTATCAACTTACATTACTAGAAGGTTTCAAACGAATCCGATGAAAGCTTGTTTTTCGGTGAATATTTTTTTATTATTCGGTCACATTTTTTACGAATACACCGTTTATGTATAGAAATAAGTCTAGAAAGAGCTGGAATTAGGGCGTAACAGCTTTTGTAAACAATGACTTCTTTCGATGATTTCTGGAAAGTTAAGGCTCGCCAACGCAAATCAACAATACCAACGGGTAGGGGACGACTTCTTCTACCCGACGGTTATGATGGTTTACGTGGACATGCCTTGAGTTACTTAGTATTCATCGTATGCAAATTTAGTGTATCTACTAGAAATGTCTTTTCAACGTCAATTTTTGCATGTATGACGGCGACTGCTGCTGCGGCGTTGATTTAATGGAGTACGGTCACTACGTGAAAGATAGAGCTTTTTGCAATGTTTATTCTACGAATATCAGGGTGACCAGTGATCCGGACTAAAACCGGAAGTTACTGGAAAAACAAACGAGAAAACTGTGAATTTCGCTGAACAATCAGAAAGAATAAGATTTTTTACTTTGCAAGTTGTTTAAACCCGTTAGACTGGACTAGATGTGCAGGAAAAGTCCCTTTGAAGGTCTATTAAGATAATTTTTGAATGTTTTTCCAAGGTAGTTTTGATGAGATTTTAGAATGAATTCTAGGGATAACACAAAGGTATTGTTTTAGAGAAAATTTCTAACGGCGTTTTGGGAAGAACTCCTAAGAGAGTTTTGACTAGACCTCGAAGTCAATTGTGTTGGTTCAGGGCAATTTCTTCAAATAGCTCTGCGAAAAATTCATTGACGATTGTGAAGAGGATTCCAGGATTCGTGAAAAATACTAAAGGAATTCTGCGATGAGGATAATTCCAATGTCAGAGTTTTTAGAGAATTTTGAGGAGAACAATTTTTTTCAGAAGGATCATGATCCAAGATAATTCTGAGCAAAATTTTAAGACAATTCTGAGGTGAATTGCATGGGAATTCTTAGGAGAATTCAAGCGAATTAAAAAAAATAAAAGTAGTCTCAGCGTATTCTTGGAAGTAACTTTAAACTTCAAAGAAAACCTATGGACGAATTTCATGGATTTTTTGGAGTGTTTTGCAAATAATTTCTGTACTATTATTATCAAAATTAAATTAACTAATATTCGTACTAAATTACCAGCATATTGAAGTCTGCCGTATTGTACCATATTCATTATTTAATTTTCCGACTAATATCGTGCGCTGTACACAGTGACTCAATCTTTTGTAACTTGTAGTTTGTAGCTTTAAAATGCTCGAACATTATGTGAGCGTGTTGGAAATGTCTTTGTGAAAACTGTCATCCTTATGCATGTTTTATTAGTTTTCCATCCTTCTTTTTCTTCTTCGCATTTCAAGCTTATTGCTTATCGTATATTAGCTTATAGCGTGCTCTCAACTTAGTGTTCTAGTTGCACTTCCACAGTTTTTAATTAAGAGCTTTCAAGGCCTGTACCATTACTGCATTAGTATAATTGTTTGGCAAGAACAATCATATTCTATGCCCAGGGAAGTCGAGAAATTGTTCAATCCGAAAAATTCCTAGACCGAACCGGGCCTAGTCACCTTCAGCATCATCTTGCTTTGTAGCTGCACCTTTACCGACTGAGCTAAGCTGCCCATAAACGCATAACAGTCTCATGTAGTTTTTCATCACTTTTGAGACAAACCCGTGAAACAACTGTTAATAACATGTTTGAGAAGAATATACTATAAAAATTGTGAAAAAAATATCAAACTTGGTCTGTCCCACGTTACAAATAAACGCATAACATGCTCGTGAGATAAAATACACTATTAGGCTTTTCTTTCTGCAAATTTTGCTTTGTAATTGTTTTTAATTACATTGCAAACAAACGAAATCTAGAGTAACATTTAAAATGGGCCTATGTCCAAAACGTAAACAATACATACAGAAAATGAATTTTAAATTTTTCCGCCACTATGCAATTCATATTTAAGAAAATTGAAGTATTTTATTTTAGTATATTTTTCACAATAACAATAGTAACTGTATCTCAGTATACAACATCCAAAATATGCGAAAAGCTTTCAAAAATATATGAAAATCGATAACAATTTAATTTCATAAATTGATAAGCCTTTTTGTGAATCTTTCAATGGATAGGTCCTTTTTGTTAAGCCGTTGTGCTTGTCATCAGAAGTGGTACGCCCTTTGCTAAGCCTTTTCGCAACGTCAAATAAATTCAAAACAAATCATCGGCCCTGCCTCAAGCAGCAGGGCCTAGCTTTGGATTGAAAATTTTCAATCGTCACTAGGCGTATCAATGAAATGAAAAAAATAAATAAATGGATGGTTGGCCGTTTTAGCGTGCGGGCCTATTAATGAATCGAAAAATTTCGTTGATCGGCCGTTTCGAAAATCGAGTTATTTTTAATGATTTTTTCTCGATTATGCGGAACTTTCCTACACGATTAGTAGCTATCAAGCGGTGCTAAAGAATGGCCACTGCTAAAAATAATTCAAAGGGATGCCTACTCAGGATGTCGACTAGTTGGACTATCAGGGAATTCATTTTTGGACCTGGAAAAAAAGGAAATCTAAGGGATTTTTTTTGAAATTCAACGAAATATTTCTTAATCACAGAAACTTATTAATAAGTATGACTGACCTCCCTAATTTTTGCCAACTTATAGTAAAGAGTTGATAGTCTCCGAGATCGTTAAGTTGAGGACGTTCAAAACTACACTTAGTAAGTTTTGAACGTCCTCAACTTAACGATCTCGGAGAGACTAACGGAACTATCAACTCAATACTTTCATTACCTCATCTATCGTATAAAATGATCACTTTAAATCTGATATTTGACATTAAGCATCTCCAACTATGTAAATCGTTAATTTCGCGCATAAAGTAATACAAACACGATTAGTTAAAGTACATAACTCTAGATGGGAGCTTACCATCAATCATACTGTCATTGGTCGAAAGGAACAGTATCAGTACCCAGCACCTCCTCTACCCGTGTCTCCTCGAGCTCGTTAAGTTGACGATGACAGAAGCACATACAGTCAGATGACGATTTGAATGCGAAACAATCGATAGAACTGTCATCGAAGGTACATGAGAAAATCGGCAATCATCTCTTTTGCCAGTGGTGGTAGAGGGAGATAACCCTCACCATGCCTCTCCAACAGGGGAGTTTGGAAAAGAAGATGATCAACCCGATTCGTGTCTTCCTCAAAATTGACCTTTGCTCGCTTTCTACTCGCTATATACAATTTTAACATTGCCGTACTCTAACGGCACTATCAACTGTATACTTTCATCACCTCATCTTCTATCGTATAAAATGACCAATTTAAGTCAGATATTTGACGTTAAGCATCTCCAACTATGCAAATCGCGAGGGGCACGCCATACAAAGAACCGGTGTGTTGAAGTTAAAATGCAATTAAAAGTATAAGTAATACAAACATGATTAGTTAAGGAGAATTCCTTGTAAAATTTAAAGGAAAATTTTATAGTCATTCTGTGGATAATTCCAAGGAAGTTCTGATATAAATTTTAGGGAAGTTCACACAGAAAGAAATTTTGAGGAGAACTAAATTATAATTTAAAATTTTAAAATAAGATATTCTAAGGAAGTTCTGAGTATAATCCCGAGGGAAATCTAAAGAGGATTGAAATTCAATAGGATTATTCAAAAAAAAAAAAAAATAAGGACTCACTCATTTTTTATTTAAATCTTTTCAGTGGCGTTTCCTTAACCTCAATCTACCTATGCACCAACTCTCAAAACATAAATAATTATCAAAATATTGCTTGCAATAGATAGATATCGAGTAAACTAGAAGATAAAGTGTATTTTTTCAACCGATCCGAAGATGAATATGTCATTTAATCTGGTTGCTTTGCATATTTCGTTTACGGCTGATTTTTACTCTGTCAATGTTTTTTTTTAGCTAGAGGGGCATAGCGATGGGCATGAGGAAAAATAAATAAACCTAAGGATATTTAACTTGTTCCGTTTTGCGGTCGCTACGCTCCTCTAACTAAAATAAAACGAGTAGGCAAAATAAGCCTGAATAGCTACGCACCTCGATACAGAACTAATGCTGAATGGTATGTTAAGTAAGGATAGCTTCCTTCACCAACCTTTACTAGTTTGTAGCCAACTCACCCTTACTCACACCCTTCTCAAATGTCAGTTCATATCACCTTCTGATTACAACAACGTCGGAGCTCAGCATTAGAGATCCAGTTGTGAGGCCACCAGGTACGAATTAATACCGCAAGTATTGATTAATGATGGAAAGAAAAGGGTTAAATTATTTATTTGTCAATTTTCCTTAGAAACATTATTAACCCTCTACTTTGGCGGTGTAAGCCTAAAGAGCTGAGACAAGAAAATCGATTTTTTTTAAGCAAATGTTGTGCCAATGGTTGGAGAAATAAACTATTTTATGTGCCATTTACATGAACATTTGTAATAAATCGGTTACAAGACCATTCTGTGGCGTTATATTGAAAACATATATTCTTTAGTAGACTAAACAGATTTTATTGAAGTTTAGGCCAGAAGTTGCTCATAAGTCTAGTTTTAGCTGGCCAAGTTTGGTAACAGTTTGGTTCGTGAGAAAATTTGACTAGACAGGCTAAATTGATCTGGATAAAAAAAATGTTTCCCTTTCGAAAGAAATGATGAAAAGTAGAAAATAACAAAAACAAAAATACACGTAGGATACCCGAGTTATCAAATTTTTAGTGCAAACTCTGACAACACGATTGGCACCACTGACCGTCGTCGCAGCCTTTTCTATATACCGATTACAGATAGGTGGAAAAGCTCCAACAAAATAACGGAGAGTGAGTGTACGAACAAGCAGTGAGCAGAGACGATTAGATTGAATGAACGAACGGGGAATGAAAGAAGAAAAAACGCAGCAAGTGAATTTAGCCTGAAAATGTGAACGCGTATTGTTTTTCTTTTTTTTTTCGTTTCTAGTCGTGACTTCAAGTCATTGGTTATATGAATGTTATATTTTCGCCTTCCACCTGGAATAGAACGCGTCTGCTCGGATCGGAACAGCACTGTTTAGAAATCAACGATGAAAACAGAAATCAAGAGCATTCAGTGTACCTAACTAGACAAAGGAAGCCCTCGTCGCCAGTTTTTTTTTCTTATGAAACAAATTTTATGTGGAACATCAAACGATGAATAGCGAAGAATTAATAGAAAAAAAGTACAACGAGGGAAAAATGTACATTTTCTCAAATAAGTGTAAATTTTTAACGAGCTATTACTTTGATTAATTACCGTTCGTCGATGCTTCAGTGTGTATCAGTGTAAGGATTGTGGTGTAGTGTCAGTGTTCATCGTGTGTATGCATGGAAGCTGGAGGAGAAATTCGGTAGGAAGGCGAATTACGGTGACATATTTGCTAGTCTCTGCTTGAATGACGGTGCCTTTAATGTTGGTTACTGCCACTGCTGCTGGTGCTGCTATTACTTTATTTTTGCTGTGCTGCGATGGTGTTTCTCCATTCTACGACGAACAGATGCAGCGAACACAAATACCACGGCAAGTATGGTGGAACAAATACAATCGAATAGCATTTGTTTTTTTTTTGTTGTGATTGTGCGATGGACTCTTAACACGGATTGACTTGAAAGTGGGTGGTATTCTGTTGGTTCATGAAATTGTGGTAGAAATGTTTCGGTAAGTGAATAGCAATATAAACAAAAAAGCTATGGATTGTGTTCGAGATGTGACTGCCTTATTGACGAGATTATTTACTGACAATAATGAATTATACACCGTTATTTGTTTATCTACAATCAAAGTTGTAACTTTCCAGCAGGCGCATCAAAATTTCTTAAATTTTGGCAACTAGTGGATCAGATTGACTGAGTTTATACTAAGTTTGAGCAGCTTTAATTAAAAGATTCTTATTTGACTACCATTTTTTTCAAATTGTTATTTCTTGATGCACAGTAGACCAATTGAGCTGTATTTTTTTGTCTAGTCAAAACATTATTCTTTTATTCTGTTAAAAATTAACTGCAATCTATCCACATCGAAAAAAGTTAAAAATCCCGAAATTCATTTAAAAATCTTGCAAAATTTGTAGTTAACGAATAACATAATTTTAGAATGCAAGATGGGGACTTCAGATTTTCAAAGTAGCTTCTCAAACTATAATGTGAGTATTTTTGTGACAGAGAAGATGAAACTGTTAGTCATATTTTCCTTGATTTGTTTTCCGTCGATCTTGTTTTCCGTGCTGAGCACCAATGCTACCGACGCCAGGGAAGCAGCTCCCACACCTGGACCCTACCTATCGACTCATCAACTTATGAACCGCGGACCAACGGCTTTACTGTCCGGACATCCCGGTGGCGCCGACTGGGATTGAACCCAGGCCAGCTGGGGTAAGAGGTAATCACACTTACCACCGGCGCCGCTGAGTTTAATCTCTCAACATGTCATGTATTTTGATGACACTCGATTTAGGATTTCATTCTCACATACTACAAATTTGAGTACCTGACACTGCAACACATGTCTGCTTCCGTCTATTTACGTCTCTTTAAACTGTTCCCCTGGTAGAGGAGAATTAAGTTCATTCGAGACGGAACACATGTTTGGTACCTCTCTATGTGCATTTAGATTAACATACGATGTCCCTCCTTACATATTCTGCACAAAATATACTTTCTGCCCCATTCATAAATGGAATTTTTACTCAAAATTAATACAAAAAATACCATGTATATTTTTACCCGAAAGAAATAATTTTGTTCTACAACTTTGTCTCAGACGTCATTTGGTCGGATCATTAGTGACGTTTCCGTGGTTCAATTTATTGAAAAATGTCAACGACGTCATTTTGGGAAAAAAAAACCTCCTAAATGCTAGACAGACGGAGCGGCTCGAAAACTTTGGTGATGAACCTGCTACTGCACCACATGGCAACACTACTACTGGATTGTACTAGCATTTTCACAAAATGTACTAAAATGTTTTGGTTCTATCTCTTTCACTCTACTCAAAACTGCAGGGCTGTTACAACAGGCGTGGATTTCGCGGATCTGTCGCGAATTTGAACATTCAGTCGCGAAAACATTTAATGATGTCGCGAAAACCGCGAAGGGACTGATGTGCTGTCACAAAAATTGTGGAATTCATTGTAACCTTTCCGTCCCGGATTATTTTGTTGTCATCAATTTTGTTGTTCAAACCAAACACCCTGCAAATAATCGAGAAATGATCTGATATCCATAAGTTACACCGGACAGGGGGAGGTAGCTCATCGATTCTTCCGGCTCGCCTCCTAGCATCGTGCTATAAGGTACCAGGCGATAACCAGGGTAGTCGATCGATAGCTCGATGACGTCATTTCGTTGGCGTCTGCAATGGGAAATTCTCATAGCAGGCGTTGACGATGGGACGTTGTCGAGTTGTTGAATAGCAACTATCGTGGTAACTCACCGATTACCTGTCGATCTGCCAAATTTGGAAAGACGTCTGCATTGAATTGTCTCATATAATAATATTCCGCCCACTATATCACAAGAAATTGCGAGTAGCTGAGTGGAATGGAGATAAGTTAAGCATTGGGTACAGGACCAAGTCTCCCCTGGGTGGTGCCAGAAGATGAGCGCAATAGAATCATCAAGTTGCCATAAGGCACGGAATGAGACTATTGCATGGCTGGGTAGTCAAAGTCTTCCATTCGTTAGTCATTTCAGGTGGATTAGAACAGGTTTAGGTTTAGGGTGGGCGTTGGCCAGATTTGGATTTTTCAGATATAATCCTAAAGGGTGTCCACGATGAAATTGCCACACACAAAATTGATTCGCAAAATTCGAGTTTTCATCCGATTGCCATCAAATTTTCAGGGATTGAGAAATAACTATTAAACTTCATTTTATCATTTTACTCGTATTTTATTTACAGTCCATACGCAAATGCCCGCACCTTGGCCTTAACCCCGGCCATAAGATTCTGCACAACCTGTGAATCAACCGTTTTTTGCATGTAAACCCATACTTTCTTCAGTTCCTCGACTGTCTTTACTACCTTAGGTCGTTTAAGAAGGTGCTGCTTCATAATCGCCCAGTACTTCTCGATGGGGCGGAGCTCCGGAGTGTTGGGAGGGTTGAACATTTTCGGCACGAAATTGACCTTATTGTCCGCATACCACTTCAGCACGTCCTTGGAGTAGTGGCATGAGGCCAAATCCGGCCAGAAGATTGTTGGGACGTTGTGGGCCTTCAGGAGAGGAAGCAGCCGCTTCTGGAGGCACTCTTTTATGTACACCTGTCCGTTCATCGTGTCCTGGGTCACGAAAGGTGCACTCCGCTTCCCGCACGTGCAGATGGCTTGCCAAACCAGGAATTTCTTCGCAAATTTGGACATCTTCTGAGTGCGGACATGCTCCGGAACGCTGAACTTATCCTTGGCCGTGAAAAACAGGTTGCCGGGGATCTGTTTGAAGTCGGCCTTCACATATGTTTCGTCGTCCATGATGCAGCATTCAACTTTCGTCAGCATGTTGAGGTACAACTTCCTGGCATGGGTTTTGGCGGACTTGTTCTGCTTCTCGTCGCGATTAGGGGCCTTTTGTACCTTGAACGTTCGAAGCCCAGCCTTAGTTTTGGCCTTCTGGACAAAACTTCGGCTTAGGTGCAGCTTCTTAGCCACATCCCTAACGGAGGCGTTCGGATTTCGGTGAAGGCCCCAACTACGCGGTTGTGATTTTTGGTGTTGTATGGAATACTTTTTCCTTCACTTCTGGGCTTCCGATCGGTGGTCAACCGTTCCTCGAACCGCTTAATCACTCGCGACACCGTGGAATTCGCGATTCCCAACGTTTTAGCGATGGAACGATGCGAGAGATCCTTGTTCTCGTGATGAATGCGCAAGATTTTATCACGCATGAGCTGTTCTTTCGACTCCATTTCCGCGAGTTTTGGTCACAGGACTTTAAAACTTGCAGGATGTAAATAATGCACTATGAACTAAATCCACCCAAATTTTCATTAAATTCTACCCAACGGTTAAAAAGTTAGAGCAATTTCATAGTGTGGCAATTTCATCGCGGACACCCTTTAAATAGGACCTAGATTATTTAATACACTAGTAACCTCAACTTCTGTCACAATTTTTCATTGTGACTAATCAACACTCAATGGGTAAAATATCAAAATTGCGGTAAATTTGAAAAAAGGTAACTTGGCGTGTAGAGCGCACTGCCCATTGGACGATTCTGAAGCCTGACCAAGTGAGTGGGCTACGGGTTTATTTGATTGTACGTCATTTCCAAGTTATATATAGATACATTCATACCATTGGCATTTTGTATTTGAGATAAGACAGAGACAGGATGCGGAGGGTCCGCTTAGGGGGAGCGTAACCCATGTTATGGCTTCCATTTATTAAATAGTTCAGATAGGCTGGAGATGATAGGTTCATGGTGAGAAAATGTACCATAGGGTGCCCGTTCACTGATCAAAATTATATTCAAATCGTCAGGCCCTGCCCTGGAATAAGGGGATTGACGATGATTTGTCAAGTTTCATTTTGCATTTGCATATAATTGTAAGTTTAGGTTTGCTTTTGTAATTGTTAGATAGATAGTTTGCCTCAATTGAAACATTGAGTTGTATAAACTTGACGAATCATACCTCTAAAATAGTAGTAGTTACAGTGCCGCATTATCTAACAACCACTGCCTGCAACTAATGTTGAGGGGTCGGCAGGGCTGATTACGGATCAAAACTAACATAACTCTTACACTGAAATGATCCCGAAACTAACGCTCATTCATTGCACTTTGAGTCATAAAGTAGTTTTATTTATTTTCCTACATTATCAGCATCGATACTGTACCGGAGCGGGGCTTATTGTAAGCAAAATCTTCGGAAGCATGCGATCTTGAAATGGGCTAATGGGTATACGGTAAAGCTATCACCTTCGAACTCCAGAGTTCAAACTTTTTGCAGTCATAAAAAAATGGTTACAGGAAGATTTTATGGCCAATTGTTTTGTTCTTTAGTTTCAATAGTTGGTCTAGGCAATGATCCAATTTTATCAAAATATAGTTTTGTCATAGAAAAAGGTTGTGTTAGATCATGTTCGTAAAACAAATTCATGAAAGAAGGATACATATGTGGTAATATAGTAACAGGTTTCCTAATGACTACTGACTACTGATATTAGGCAGAATATAATTTTTCAACAAACACGTGTCGGTCGAATTAGGATTTATCCCAGGCTACTATTGTAGAAAAACGTATTGATAGATATTGGGCGGAACGCGTCGGAATGTTTAGAAAAATAGGGCGCACGCTTGATCCGGTTTAAGATACATTGTTGACTGCTTTCGGGAACGTGATTTCATTTTAA